TTTTTTTTTAGTGAAAAATCATGTGAATGTAATGGATGTAGAAAATCTTTCTACCATAGTTCTGCCCTTAGTGCATGTCAGAGAATTCACATGAGTGAGAAGCTATGCGAATGTGAAGAAAGTCAAATTTTCTCCAGTAAGTCAAAACTCGAGAAACATGAGAGAATTCACAATGGTGAGAAACCCTTTGAGTGTAACACATGTGGAAAAACCTTTCACCTGAATTCAAACGTCAGCATGCGTAAGAGAATTTATAATGAATGTGGAAAAGTTTTTAACATAAAGTCAAACCTGAACAGATATCAGAGAATTAACCCAGGTGAGTACCACTATGAATGTAAAGAATGTGGGAAAGCTTTTAACCAAATGTCAGCCCTCAAGAAGTGTCAGAGAATTCAAAAGGGTGAAACACTATTTGAGTGTAAGGAGTGTGGAAAAGCTTTTAACCAAAAGTCACCCTTCACAGTGCATCAGAGAACTCACCCGGGTGAGAAGCCCTACAAATGTAATGGATGTGGGAAAATGTTTAATAACAAATCCTTCAAGATGCATCAGAGTACTCACACAGGGAAAACACCTTATAAATGTAAAGAATGTGGAAAAGCTTTTAGCCAAAAGTCAATTCTTGGGATACATGAGAGAATTCATACAGGTGAGAAACCATATGAATGTAAAGAATGTAGAAAAGCTTTTAACCGAAAGTCACACCTCATTGTGCATCAGAGAATTCACACAGGTGAGAAACCATATGAATGTAAAGAATGTGGAAAAGCGTTTAACCAAAAGTCAACCCTCAGCAGGCATCAGAGAATTCATACAGGTGAGAAACCATATGAATGTAAAGAATGTGGAAAAGCGTTTAACCAAAAGTCAACCCTCAGCAGGCATCAGAGAATTCATACAGGTGAGAAACCATATGAATGTAAAGAATGTGGAAAAGCTTTTAATTTAAAGTCAACCCTCAGCATGCATCATAGAATTCACACAGGTGAGAAACCATATGAATGTAAAGAGTGTGGGAAAGCTTTTAACCAAAAGTCGCACCTCAGCATGCATCAGAGAATTCACACAGGTGAGAAACCATATGAATGTAAAGAATGTGGAAAACCTTTTAAGTTAAAGTCACACCTCAGGATGCATCAGAGAATTCACACAGGTGAGAAACCATATGAATGTAAAGAGTGTGGGAAAGCTTTTAAGTTAAAGTCACACCTCAGCAAGCATCAGAGAATTCACACAGGTGAGAAACCATATGAATGTAAAGAATGTGGAAAAGCTTTTAAGTTAAAGTCACACCTCAGCATGCATCAGATAATTCACACACGTGAGAAACCATATGCATGTAAAGAATGTGGAAAAGCTTTTAACCAAAAGTCTCACCTCAGCATGCACCAGAGAATTCACACAGGTGAGAAACCATATGAATGTATAGAATGTGGGAAAGCTTTTAACCAGAAGTCAACCCTCAGTGGGCATCAGAGAATTCACACATGTGAGAAACCATATGAATGTAAAAAATGTGGAAAAGGTTTTAACCGAAAGTCACACCTCAGCATGCATGAAATTATTCACACAGGTGAGAAACCTTATGAATGTAAAGAATGTGGAAAAGCTTTTAACCGAAAGTCACACCTCAGTATGCATCAGATTATTCACACAGGTGAGAAACCATATGAATGTAAAGAATGTGGAAAAGCTTTTAACAAAAAGTCAAACCTCAGCATGCATCAGAGAATTCACACAGGTGAGAAACCATATGAATGTAATGAATGTGGAAAATCTTTTAAGCGAAAGTTGCACCTCAGCATGCACCAGAGAATTCACACATGTGAGAAACCATATGAATATAAAGCATGTGGAAAAGCTTTTGGCCAAAAGTAAACTCTCAGCATGCATCAGAATGTTCACACAGGTGAGAAGCTTTGTAAATGTAATGAATGTGGAAAAAAATTTTCTTATGAAGTCACTGTTTAGAAGATATCAGGAAAAAACTCCTTATGAATGTAATATGACAAGCCTTGTACTGGAATTCCCTCTAATAGACAGAAAAGATTGCACACAAAGGAAAATCTCAATGAATGTAATTTTTATTGGAAAAGATTTTGCTAGAAGCCATAACTAAGACATCATAGTACTTACATCAAGAAGAATACCTATAAATATACAACTGTCCTCAGGTATTGAAGATTGTCTTGAGGATCCCCTATTGATATAAAAATTTGCTCAAGTCCCTTCTATAAATGGTGTAGTGTTTGTGTATTACCAATTCATTTCCTGCTGTGTACTTTACATCTTGTGTACATTACTTATTATACTGGAAGACATGTGAATACTATTGAAATAGTTGTTTGGGCCGGCCCGGTGGCGCACTGCTACAGTGCGCCGCTTGGGAGCACGGTGGCGCTCCCGCTGAGGGTTCGGATCCCACATACAGACCGGTTCCCGCTCACTGGCTGAGCGAGGTGTGGGAGCAACACCGAGGGTTGCGATCCCGTTGCCGGTCCCCGGTCCTGGTCCGGTACGGGCGCGACACTGAGGGTTGCGATCCGTTGCCAGACATGAAAAAAGACAAAAAGGAAAAAAAAAAAAGAAATAGTTGTTATACTGTGTTGTTTTCAGTAGTAAAATTGTTTCATTTATCATTTTTATTTATTTTTGAGGATTTTTGATAAGTAGTTGCTTGAATCACTAGATGTGTAACACTCAGATATAGAAGGAGGACTGTAATGAGTGTGAAAACATCTTTTCTGCAAGTCTCAAGACTGGGTGTGGTTAGAACATTGTTGCTTACAACATTGTGCTCATGACACAAATGATCACCATACCAGCCATGCGCCAAAAAATAAATAAAAATTAAAAAGGAATCACATCACAGCAGACATTAGAGAATTTAAAGAGTGGAGTAATTGTGTATGGATTAGACTGACTGTGTCTTTTTAAAATATCTTTTTCTCTTGTATGCATAGCCTGCAATCTGAGTGTTCCACGATTGGGTGTATGACCACATAATTTAACTCTGTTTGGGGTAATGTAGATATAAGTGATGAATATTACTTCCAGCTCAGTCAGCAAAATAAAAGAAAAAAATTCCATGTGGTTGTTCTTGATTTCTCATGTTCTCTGGGACTGAATGAAGATGACACTTGGGTGGAGTTCGGGGCCACAGGTGAAAGAAATGCACCCTAATTTAAAATAGAAGAAATTGAAGAAATCAGAGATATTCTCACCACTATCCCCAAACCTCCATTTATGCAGTATATAAGAAATTATTTCCTTGTTGAGCCATTGTATTTGCTGTGCTTGCATTACAACACAAGCAGCCCACTCCAGCTAAATAATTTTATAAACTTTCTGAGAAGTTACCAGTCTCTGTATATGAGAAGAGAATCCTGTGTTGTCACATTTTTATACCCAAATCAGTTTATGGGAACATCAAATCATAGGGAGAAAGAATGGAATAAACTGGGGATAAAGAGTGGAATAAATGTGGGATATCTTATTGGGACAGCTCATTGGACAGTGAAAATAAATATCTTTCTAAATCTCTTTAATGTATCAAAGCTTTCAAGAAAACAACACTTCTTATGTCAGAATTTGAAATGAAGAGAAAACTAATAAATGTAAATTTTTCATATGGAAATGAAAATTGGAATATTAATGGCATTTTTAACATCTTGAGTGTTATAAATATTTAAATACAATTGGTGACACTGCTTTCCAGGAGACATTCATCTTTGAAGATAATTTTGGTTGTCGGGACATTCATGTTAGTTTGAAGATAATTTTGGTTGTTATAACTGAAGGTTGGGAGTGCTACTCCATTGAGTGGGAAGAAGACAAAGATGTTGCTAAGCAGCCTGCAATGCACAAAAAAGCCACCTCACATGAAACATTTATGCATAAAACTGTTCTTTGTTAAAAATTCTTTTTAATGAAACCCAGCATAAATGTGGGTAGGGAATATGTACACTTGGTATAATAAATAGCTTGGTTTGACTTACTTCAGGATTTTTGACATTAATTGCCACTCTAACTTCTGTATATTTTGTTAAATATATTGTCTAAAGTACTGCACTACACAGATTTTTTTTCCTACTCTTCTATTTTAGGTAAATTTTTATGACCAGTATTACAAAACTAAGTACAGGTAATTTTTTCTGATGTTTGAAGCTAACACAGACTGAGTCTATTGGTTGAATAGAAACATTTCTACGTGAATGCAGCACAGGCACGTAATTGTAAACAATTTGTTTGAACTTATTTAAACAGCTGTAAACAATAGTGGTGTTGTTATTTTACTCAGCGAAAACTAGTGTCTGGAAGGGATAATTTTCTTTTATACCTATTCTTCATATATTTAAATGGTGCCAAATCATAGGCATAAGTGTGTACCACATTCCCTATAGGTAAGAAATCTTTAGTATTTCTACTTGCAGTGATGGGGTGCTATTTTGCATCTTGCCAGTAAAAGGTAAATCCTGAGTCCACTTATGTATAGACTTGTGCGTGGCTGTGCTTGTGTATAGGTCTCCAGACCTAGAGATGGCCCCAGAGCCTGTTTTCACATAAGGAGTCTTCTTGATTCTGTGGTGACTCCCTGGCAGCCTTCTGGCTGCCTTCAGGTCCCTTGGGGTTTGGGAGACCCAGTCCCCGAAGAGCAAGTAAGACAAAATGGTGTCCAGCATAGAACCTGAGGGCTGTGGTTGGAGGCAGGGGCTCTGGGATCCTTTCGGTCAGGAAGGTCATTTTCATTTGCCACAATTCTGTCCTCAGATCTCTGGTAACAGTGGGCAGAGAGTACAGCACCATCATTTATTTCTCATTTTTCACTCTAATATTTGATTTTCTTCTCTCTTTTTGGGGTGGTTTAATTTTACACATTTAGGTTTTTAGTTGGATGATTAGTTTATTGATTTCAGATCTTTCCTTTCTAAAAATGTATGCATTTACAAATATAAATTTTACTCTAAGCCCTTTTTTACTTTTGGTATGTTGTATTACTGTTTTCATTCTCAAAATGTTTCAAATTTTAGTGTCATTTTTATGGCTCACTGGCAGTTTGGGAGTTTGTTGTTTAACTTCCATGTAGTTGTGAACTACTGAAATATCATTCAGTTAATAATTTTCTGTTTAAATCTATTGTGGTCAGAAAACATACATTGTGGGCCGGCCCGGTGGCGCACTGCTACGGTGCGCCGCTTGGGAGCGCGGTGGCGCTCCCGCCGAGGGTTCGGATCCCACATGCAGACCGGCCGCTAACTGGCTGAGCGAGGTGCGTGAGCAACACCGAGGGTTGCGATCCCGTTGCCGGTCCCGGTCCGGTACAGGCGCGACACTGAGGGTTGCGATCCGTTGCTGGTCACGAAAAAAAAAAAAAATGAAAACATACATTGTGTGATTTCAATCCTCAAATTTATTGAAGATATTTTATGGCATGGCAAATGGTCTTTTCTGGACTATGTTCCGAGGGCTTGAATAGATTAAGTATTCTGTTTTGAGGGGTTGTGTCTATATATACATATCTGTAAATTCAAGTTGTTTTGTAATGTTGTCCAAGACTTCTATACACTTGTCAGTCTTTTCCCTAGTTATAGTATAGATTACTGAAAGTTGCATTTGTTTTATCTTAATATTTACATAGAACAGTCCATCTCATCCTTAGTTTCTTCTATAATTATTTTTGTTTGATGTTGGACTTATTTGTTAGGTGCATATATGGCTATAATTGTTATGGTGTCCTCCTGGCTGACACTTTTGTCATAAATGACACTCTATTCCTAGTAACAATTTTGTTTGCTCTTTTGGTATGAATATGGTCAGCTGGTGTATCTGTGTTATGGTTATGTTTACATTGTATATGTTTTCCTGCTCATTAACTTTCAACCTGTTCATATCTTTGAATTTAATGTGTTTCTCTTGTGCTCAATATATAGTTTTTTCTTTTTTCTTTTTTTAAATACTTTGGACAAGTCTTTAAATTTTTTTATTTGACTTGACAGATTATAATGGTATATGCCTATGATGTACAAGTTGAAGTTTCAACCCATGTATACATTGTGAAATGATTAAATCAGCCTAATTCACACATTCGTTATCTGACACAATTATTTCTTTGTGGTGAGAAAATTTAAAATCCACTCTGTTACCAACATTGAAATACACATTACTATTAACTCTATTCACCATGCTGTGCAATAGATCAAAAGAATATATTCCACCTGCTGAAGTAAAACTTTGCACTCTTGAACCAGCACATCCCCCTTGATCTTTTACCCCATCCTAACCCTCAGTTTTGGTAAACTTTATTCTTCTCTCTGTTTGTATTAGTTTGACTTTTTAATAGTCCATGTATAAGTAAACTTGTGTGGTATTTGTCTTTCTGTACCTGGCTTATTTTATTTAACGCAGTGTACTCTAGATTCATCTATGTTGACACATTTGAGAATTTGTTTCCTTTTTAATGTCTGAGTAGTATTTTATTTATTTTTTATTTTATATGTAAACATTTATTTTATCCATTTATGGATAAAGAATGTTTCTGTAGTTTCGATATCTTGACTGTTGTGAATAATGGTGCAATAAACATGGGAGGGCTGACGTCTCTTTCTCATGCTGATGCCAGTTCCTTTGGACATATACCCAGAAGTGGGATTGCTGGATCATTTGGTGGTTTTATTTTAGTTTTGTGACAACTTTATGCTACTTTCCAAATTGGTGTTCTAATACACCTCGTGTATTCACACCTTCATGAACACTTGTTATCTTTTATGTTTTTGATAATACCTGTTGTAACAGGTCCGATGTGATCTCATCATACTTTTAAATTGCATATCCCTGTGGATTAGTGATGTTGACATTATTTTTGTACATCAGCTGGGCATTTCAAGTCTTCTTTTGAGAAATGTCTATTCAGGTTTTTGTTCACTTTTTGAGTAGGGTTATTTATTCTTATTGTGTATTTTGAGTTCCCTATATGCTTTAGATTTAGCCCATGTGAGATGTATGGCTTGCAAATGTTTTCTCTGAATCTGTGGGTTTTCTCCTCACTTTGATATTTGTTTTATTTTCTGTGCAGAAGCTTTTCAGTTTGATGGTATAAATTTCTTCTATCCATGAGATCAGCTAAATTGAAGTTTTTACATGGGATGTCGATACTTTATTCAGTGTCTTCTCTACTTTCCACTGGATGTAAATATATTTTCATTTTGTGTCAGAATTTTGTCTATAGCACCGGTGTAGTTAACCCCATTTCTTCGTTAGAAAAATGAGAGGTTGAGATTAGGTTTGTTGCTTGAGGTCTCACACTGGCTGTAAAACTTTTCCATCGTGCCGTATTCTTACATTCTTCTATGGAAAACATGTTCACCAGTCTGGAAGCCTGGGTGAACCTCTCCAACCTCACCACATTATTGGCTTACTTGGCATTGGAGCCTGTCAAAAAAAGGGATCTCTTTGTCCTTAAATCAATGTGTTTGGACCCAGGACATGCAAACCTTGAGTTCAGTGATTGTCCTTAAATGGATTAATGCATATCCGTGAATTTGAAACTGCATGAGGTATACACAATTTAAGACAATGTTGATTAACTTTCTGCATACTGAATATATTAGATATATTCCTATCAAAAAGTCTGTTATATGTTTTATGTCTGTAAGAGGAAAAACTACACAGAGTTTGAAATTACATTTCTTTTTCTTCAATAAACAAGTGGGAACTATAACATGGAATTGACTTGCTTTGGATTCCAGAGCACTTTTTTTTAATTGTGAGAATCTGGTGGATCCCGGATCCTCCAGGCCCAGGTGGAGAAGGTCACAGTCCTCATCCTCTACCTTTGGAGCTCCAAAAACCTGTCAGTTATTATGTATCAGCATTCCAGGTACCCAGAAGTTAGGAAAACTCTGGCCCATGCTGAAGGGAGAGTGAGACAAAGGCTTTACAAAGAATCAGGGACTTGGAGTTGCTGGGCCAACCTCCATCCCTCCCTCAGCACAGGCTCAGCTGAAGTGTGTTGCAAGAATATTGTCTTCATTTCCTACAGTCCTCAGATAAAGCCATGGTGGTGTGTGTCCTCTTGACCTGGAAGGGCACCGGGTCATTCTAGTGGGCAGCTCTGGGTCAATTTCCTCAAGGACTTCTAGGAACTTGGGAGTTTGAGAGGTCACATATGGGCTAGGGGGTCACCGTGATCT